AATTGCCCAGAGTGTCGCCAGCACGGAACGAGCACCAGCAAACAAGAAAGCACGTGCCATACCGACCACATCCTCAGACGAGACCTCTCCTTGACCACTGTGGCAGCAACTTAGCACAACCAGTCTCGCTCTCAGCTTAACAGCTTGTATGTCAGACATTTTCATAATGCAGTCCTCCTCCTTAGGAGTGTGGGATTCCCATCGGGGGTCTCAGCTTAACAGCTTGTATGTCAGACATTTTCATAATGCAGTCCTCCTCCTTAGGAGTGTGGGATTCGCATCGGGGGTCTGGGGCCAAAACAATTTCTCCGGTTTCCGGCCTTCCGTGGGCTGCAATGTGAACCAAAGATACTGACTTGATTCTCTGAAGTACCGCTTCTTTGGTTGCATCTTCACCTGTTAAGGGTTGACTCTTTAGAATTCCTCCAATCATCTCCACTTCCATTTTTGCGTACTCCAGTTGCTTATAAATGGGGTTCCCCCATTTATCTGTAATTTTCTTCAAGCATGGATCTCCAACAAGCAGGGCTCCACTTTTACTGTGGTATTCACTTGGAGAATCTGTGATGACTTTCAAACTTGTCAGCGAGGGAACACTGCGGATCCTTAAAGTTTCACTCAGGGCTGCCCAAGGAGCTTTGGACAAAGCACCATCAGGAACTACAATTAGTTCATCACCATCAAGCAAGTTTTCAATGGGACCAATAACTGCATCATATAATTGCTGCAAACAGGCGGTGGTCTCCTGTGATGCCTCCGATGCTTGATGTTCGTCTCGAGTAGTTGAAGTTGTTGTACTCAGCTTATCCATTGACCGATTTTCGCACCTGATACCGACGCCAGCCCCAATGGTTTTTAAAACAATGTCTAAAACGGGAGAAAAGGAATCTTCGTGCTCTTTTCCAGTTTCTTGTAACATCAATTGACCAAAGATATGGTTGCCTTCTTTTCGCAATACCCACATACTGAGTATGTTCTTATTCAGGGCAAGAAAAACTGTTGAAGCAGTTGTCTTCCTTGAAATATTTCTGACTTCTTCTTCAGATTCAATTGACCTGGGAGAAAGTGATGTAAGGCCATAAGTCACTTTTAAGGTATCGAGTAAAGCCTGTGCTCGTCCCCTCTCAGCAGCGTACAAAGCCTCATCATTCCTTTGAAGCATTACTAAAACTTGCCATAAATGAGTATAGACACATTTTTGATAACGCGTACACAAACTTATTTTCAATTGATCTTCCGAGATAGAATTGGCTCTTATAGTCTCAAAGATTTTTAACACTGCAACTAAAATGTTCTAAAGCCTCATTCAAAGAATGTGATTCCAAAAAAGAGTGACCCAGACCTATATGTGCACATGCTTCTCCTATCCAGTTACCGAGTTTCTCGGCAATGCTTAGGTGTTGCTTGTAACACTCTATTGCTTTCTTCAAGTCGTGGAGATGTCTATAACAACTTCCGAGGCGGCAGTAGGAAACTCCTTGTTGAAACCTGTCACCGATTTCCTCGGCATTGCTCAGGGATTGCTTGTAGTACTCCATTACTCGTGGCACGTCGCCGAGGGATTGATGAACGTCGCCGATGTTTGAATAGGCACGTCCTTTTCCTATTCTGTCACTGACTTCCTCGGCAATGCTCAGGTGTTTCTTGTGGCACTCCATTGCTCTTTGGAATTCTTCAAGGCAGAGAGAAGTAGCGCCGAGATGGGAATAGGCTTCGCCTTCCCCTGCCCTGTCACCATCTTCCTTGGCAATGATGAGGGATTGATTGGTGTCCTCTATTGCTCGTTGGTATTCGCCGAGACTAAAATAAGCTTTGCCGAGAATGAGATAGCCTTGCCCTTGCCTTGCCCTGTCACCAACTTCCTTGGCAATGATGAAGTATTTATTGGTGTACTCTATTGCTTTTTGTAATTCTTGAAGGCTGTGATAAGCAAGGCCGAGATTGGCATAGGCTTGGCCTTGCCCTGCCCTGTCGCCAACTTCCTTGGCAATGATGAGGTATTCATTGAAGTACTCTATTGCTCTTTGGAATTCTTCAAGGCTGTAGTAAGTGGCGCCGAGAATGGCATAGGCATTGCCTTCCACTGCCCTGTCACCAACTTCCTTTGCAATGATGAAACATTTATTGGTGTAGTCTATTGCTCTTTGGAATTCTTTAAGGCTGTGATAAGCAAGCCCCAGACCGCTATAGGCTTTGCCTTGACATGCCCTGTCACCAACTTCCTTGGCAATGCTGAGGTGTTGATTGTGGCACTCTATTGCTCGTTGGAATTCTTGAAGGTTTTGATAAGTAGCGCCGAGATTGCCATAGGCACATCCTTCACCTGCCCTGTCACCAACTTCCTTGGCAATCCTGAGGTCTTGATTGTGGTACTCTATTGCTCTTTGGTTCTCACCGAGGAATAGGTAAGAACAGCCGAGAATTCTAGAGGCACGTCCTGCACCTGCTCTGTTACCGACATCCTCAGCAATGCTCAGTTCTTGCTTGAGGTACTCTATTGCCCGATGGAAGTCGTTGTTTTTATTGATTTGCGCTGTTGTAAGACGCTTGTTTTGTTCATCTATATATTGTAATATTCTTTCTGCCATTTCCAAGTTTTAATATTCAAAGTGGAACTGTTTCTTGGCAGTAAGGTCTCTTTGAGGAGCGTTGAGGTGGAGTAAAACAAAAATAATTTTAATTAATACATTTGAAGTCTTAGAATACACTGTATGTTCCCATCAGACAGATGAGACATGACAGAACTTCCCACTCCTTCCTCTCTAGATTTACTCCAACTGACGCTTCTCCGGAATTTTTTTGACAATTTCTGAATATTGGTGTCATAAGACAATATTTCTGGACTCCCCACGGACAATTACTTCGAAATAAACATATAATTCCTGTCACAATCATCGCCGAGCTTGTTGAGTATGTACCACCTCCACACAACAATGACGTTACCAAGCCTCGTGTGCTGAATACGTTTCTAGATGGACTTTTAGAGTTAGGAGTGGATAGAGGTTTGATAAGAACAAAAAGTTGCTAAGCGATTTAATATAATAGAAAAGGAAAAAGGCTAGCGAATTGCAGAAAATTCTTCCGATAACGAGTGTAATAATAATAAGAGTTCATTGGATATTTAAAATTAGGAGGGGAAGGATGAGGAGGAGGAGGAGGAGGAAGTGGCTTCTGAGAATGGTGTTGAAGTTGACTCCCAAGAGAGCTACAACGACATTGAAAAACGACCACAGTCAGGAAACATAAAGTAGTAGCCTTGAAACGTTCACCACCTTTCACTCTGAAAATCCGTGTGAACATTGTGAGAATTCTAAAGTGTACGGAACCGAGTTGATCATGAAATGTCCTAAATACTTTTGGCACGATTACTACAAGATTTGTCCGATATGCGATCACCAGATCCCCGAGGAGAGAAATTACATCAAAGATGAGAGGGCTTTCACGATTGTGGAGCAATTACACACAAAAAGAGGAGAACGAAGAAGAGGATTATTAAATTTTTCATTCCTTTCAAATCGCTGTGTATTTGACTCTTTTTGTCATTGGTCTTCAATAAAGTTTTTAAAACGGTATCTCGTGTCCGGTTTTATTGTGAGCGTTTATTAGTCGCGTGTTTTAATTGATCCTTCTCACGTTTTTTTATTGTTTTATGTTTTTAAAATAATAAGTCAAAGTTCAAAAAATGAGTCCGCTTCCCGGCGACAATAACATTACATGCAAATTTCAGAGAGACCACAAACTAGCAAACCACAACAAATTTTAAGTTGTTTGCCTTACATAGAGCAGAAATAAAAGCGATTTAATTTATAAATAGTAATTTTCCTGAAAACCTTTCTGGCAGTACAATTCACATAGTCCCAATGAACATTGAAAAATTTAAAAGGCAACTGTTTGAGGAAAGATGTGGCGTCACCTTAATTTCTTATTAATCGATGCAAGACTTAGTTTCACAAATTTATGCACAAAGCAAGTCTTTTTTCGTTAGCTATTGTAATAAAAATGAAAATTATTATAAATCAGTGACGTCTACAACATGAGAGATCCACATTTAACACAAATTATCCTGAATATCCGGCGTTGCTTGTGTGAGGAGGGGTAGGGGTCAGGGGTTTGGAGGCGGGGGAGGGGTGGAAAGGAAGTGGAAGAGAGTAGCGGAAAATGGAGACAACGAAGGGAGAGAAAAACAAATCGGTCAAGACAATATTCTAGTCGGACGTTTTGCTTAACATGGAACAAACATACTTTGCTTCGCGGTCGCAAACCGATCTGAACTTATTATTAATTATTTCTAGTAAAAAAGAGAGGGAAAAAAACTACAACAGGAAATCAAAATAAAGCTTGCAGAAATATCTGATTAGAAAAATTCCAAGTTAAAGGAGATTATTTCTTACCTGGACGATTTGATCTCTGTGAAGAAATTTTCAACGGAGTTTTGAAGTGTTCTCCAGTGGTTGGATTTAAATGCAGAGGACTATCAAATATATAGGGTGGCCGATAGAAACAAAAACCCACAAGACAACAACAACGACAACAAAAATAGGAGAGAACAAACCCAAAACAGAAACACATAGACAAAACGGAAACCCAAAACAGAAAAACACTACCAGAAAACAGAAACACAAATCTCAAAACAGAAGTAAGCATCCCCAATCGGAAACACACATAAAAATACAAAATTAAACCGCAAAACTGAAACAGAATCCAAAAATACAAACCATAGCCACAAAAGACGAAAACAGGAACAAGGAAATAGTGTAGAGCAAAACTTTCTCAGGTTTCATCGTCTTTTTTTGAATAGGCGTTTTACGTTTTTTTTTTTAGGGAGAGCATGATCGCAGGCTATTATTATCTAGGAACATTAAACTGTAAATCAATCTCGTTCCCAGCGTATCTCTTCTCCCCATCGCCTTTCGCTCCAGGTGACCGGTATTTTCGGTCTCCGGTCAATTTTAGCCCGCCGGAGTGGAAACCACGTGGGGTACGTTTCTCGATCGTCCTGGTACCTTTTCTAGTCCAAAGCAGATAACCTAACGTGAGACCTAACTACTAACATATGGCGTTAAAATACAGAGTTTGACCCTGACTGAACGTCAGTTGCTCGAGATTTAATGCGCCCGACATTAGGGAAGCGACGGTAGCGAAAACGTCATTTAAAAAGCTATTTGGCATACTTTTAAAATTTGTGACGGTTATCTTAACTGGCTAAGTTGGTCAAATGTAGGCGATTTTTCGGTGGAAATGAATTTTTAGGGAGCGCTGACATCAAAGTGCAAATAGAGAAAAAGAAATTTGTCTCCGGGTGCCTATGTCCTCTCACAACGTAGAGACGGCGAATAAATTTGTAAAAACGTGTAATGCACATGCAGAGTTATTATTTTTGTTTATTGAACCTATATCAAGAAAACATGCGAATGAGGCCCTGTTTATATAGAGAAAAATTTTCCCGGGGTCACCCTCCCAGCCCGAGTCAACTTAAGCAAGTGTTTATATAAGAAATGTTTGACCCCTTTGCGCAAGCCTAGAGCTGAAAACAGCGCTCGCGCATGCTCTGATTCTCTCGCCTTAACTGAGTTGACCCGGCGGTGCAAGCCAAGTGTTTTCTTGGAGAAAAGTTGGCTTAGCTACAAAGGTGACCTTACCATCGAAAAAGGGCTCTAGCCGAACCCACTATTTGTTTTTAGTGTAATTAAACGCCAAGTTTCGGTAAGGAAATGTAGCAAATGTTTGCTCGCCCAGGGTAGCTCGGGTGGGCGAGAGACTCTTCTACTCAGGGCGACTTTTCTTCATATAAGGGGGCGACCTTGCTGTTCTTGGGAGACCTCACGTTATTGGTTGGGAAAACAATATGAACTAACAAAGTTTGGAACCTAGCCCGAAAACAAAAGCACTGCGACCCATAGGAGTATCTTCTGAAGAGTACTGCTGCAAGGCTACTAGGGCCACGGGGTCTAATTGGCTATTTACGCGATGACTTGTTTTTGCTAGTAAAGAAATTCATCTCATTTTTTCTCTCATAATTAAATTTGGTAATCCCACTGAGGTTTAAATAACAAAAGCCCTAACTTGCAGAAGAAAGCAAAACCCTGAAGGAATCTGGTATAGTGAAATGACGTCATCGTGCAAACGGCCTTCTTTAGAATCCCACAGAATTTGGCTTTCTCA